TTTTATTTTATTTTATTTTATTTTATATAAATATTGCTTTGTGCCAGGTTAGTACTGTCTAGTAATTTACATTTATTTATTGCCATTCCATAACTATTTCAACACACACATTGTTTTGTAAATGGGGAAATTTTTAATTTCAGGTCGATAATTTAATAACTGCTTTAAAATATGGCATTTACCTCTACTGTATTCCAGTATAATCCCTGTGCAATCAGTTTGTATATAATTGTCACTGGTGAGATACTATTATTTATAAACATCTAGATTATTCAGATTTCCTTTGGCAAGAATCTGTGGATGTTCATATTAATTTAATATTTGAATTCAAATTTTACTTGTTCATGTCAAAATCATAGGCTAGACAATATTCACTTTGTGAATTTTTTTTAATCATGGGGCTGCAGCACTTGTTTCATTGATTTTCTGTTTAAGTCTCGGGAGACCAAAGTGTTTTATAAGAATGTAAGTGAGAGACATGAATAATTTGATGTTATTATGGTTATTATTCAAATACTGTTTCCTGTGGCTGAATTTATATGCGCCATCCATGCATGACACCTTAAAGAGGTTGGCTGGGACTAAGTCTTTTTAACAGCTGAAATACCACTTAGCTATTGCGATTTAAATGTTACAATTCCCTTAAAAGGTGAGCTTCAATGATAATAAATGGAGAGATATGTACATGCTTGAAATCAATCTGCTGATAAGGATGGAAAGATTAACTTTGAAGAAATGTATTATGCACAGAGTCAAACTGATAATGTTTGGACGTAAGTGATTTTTTGATTTAATGCAGTATTCATTTTATAAAAGCTTTTTTCTGGATTCATATCAAAACTCATGTAAATGTATACATGTACAAAATTCAGAGATAGGTAAGTTACAATAATTGCTTTGTAAAGGGTTCTTTTACTGACAACTTAGTCACTCATACAGTCATGTAATTTAATATCTTGCGCATATATACTAACAGATCAGATGGATAACTTATATCTTCTCTAACTGTTATCTTTCAATGTTGATATGGAAAATCAGTCGTTCAGGAATCTTTTTTTAATGGTCTTTGGAATTTGAGAAATTATCAAGATCGCTTCAAAATGATCTTCAGTCCAGTAAAATTCATAAATTTTCAATAAATGCAGGACAACTGACCTAGTAAATTCTTCAGTAAATGATTCTCAAAGATCTTTGGAAGTAATGGAATTTTTTTTATACCTATGTTCAAAATTACAGAAAATAGTAGAGCTTCAGTTGTAAATAATTGAAGACATGTACCTATAAATAGGTAGCTTTCTTCTGCATTTTTTTCTGAAAGTGTTAAAAAATGGAAATGAAATTCAGAAGAGTACCAGACAACAAGAACAAAAAATGTTTCCTCCAAGATTAGCTTAAACTACATCAGGTTTTTTTGCTGGGTGTTGATTAAATTTATTAATTTACTATTGGACTGGCCATCTCCATGATAAGTATGAAATAAAACTACTCTTTTATTTGTCTCTTGGGTCACTGGATAGTGTAATTCTTTTATCACAGTCGGGTTTGTGATGTCTTATTGGTTGTATAACTCTATGTTTTCCTCCGGAATGTCTTTGGTCTACAGCCTTAGTGTTGAAAACAATGTTTATTATACAGTCATGCTGGTATACAGTCTTTGATGAACATTAACTATATGTAGCTAATTTCCTGTTCTACTATAGGTGTAAGCCAGAAAGGTACTACATGCAGCTGGTTGAGTGTAATAGTGTAAACAATCCCACCAAGTTTTCCTAGGTTTCTGTTGATGTACCCATTGGTGAAGCCCTTGGGCTTGTAGTTCAATACTAGTTCTGATTAACACACTTACCACAATGTAAAACAGAGGTGTGTATTTTTAATCTGTCATTATTAGACTTTGCATGTTTAACAGAGCTTTCATGCTGTTCACAGCATATTTACTTTCAGATACATTTTAAATTGTGTCCGTTTGTCCTTGTATTTATTCTATGTTCAAGCTATCTACAGGGACTTTTTTACATGACAATATTTTTTCTAGCATTTCATGTCAGAGGCATTGTATTTATTTCATGACTGTAAGTACCTGCAATTGTAGAAATTTACAATCATGGGAATGTTTTCCTTCTTATGATAAAAATGTTTTGCTCAAGATTTCATGGTTCATGATGTTGTGTTTTTTATGGTAAAATATGAGATTGTACAACATACATGTATTTTGAATCTCAATAGTAACACCTGCTCATCTGCAAACAATCCAGTTGCTTGAACAGGCAAGTTCTCTTTTTGACTTTTTGTTGGGATTAAATATTCGCTTTGGAAAGTGTCATTCTAAACTCCTGATTGCTCTATCTTTTTTTCGCTGAACACACTGTTCAATATACAATGTATGCCAGGGAAAATGTCCTGAGTATAACATAAGTTGAATTCTGCATAAAGCAAACAGGTTGTATCCTGCAGAGCTTTCCAATTTTAATTTTGAAACATAAAAGGCTTGCATGAAAAGCCTTCAGATAGTTGATAAGCAAATGTACAAATATGGTAAGATTTTATTTGAAACTTTTAAAATATTAATGGATTTAAAACAGCAAGGAATGATTCTTCACAATTGATTCAACTGTGTTTTAGTTTCATGCAGTGAATATGAGTTTTCCTAATCACAAACACTGATCTTTATCAAAGTTACATGCAAGACATGCTCACCACTCGTGGTAAGCCAAAAAGTTCTTGTTTCAATGTGTTATACCCCTCTTTAGTTGATAATTATTTGAATCTGTCTTAAGTTACCTATAAAATAAGTTGGGAGATTGTTATTTTTCCAGGTCCAGATATCAATATTCATTTTCTTTAAATGACTTTGATATGTTTCAGATTTGAAACATACCTAATTTCTTTTTAAGATTCAAAACATTCACAGGATTACATTTCACCCTGTACTCTACATACTTTTCATACGCAGTCATAAATGTTGTCAACCAAAGGTGTCAGTTTTTTAAATTACTAAAAACTGTAATTTTGTCATCATGATGATATATTCTAGACATTACAAGAATTTGTTGTTTGTCATTGGTATCACTCTATTGTCAATAGATAACTTAATTTTATGATTTTGGAGGAGCCACACTTAATTTTTGGCAAATTTGTTTGACATAAATTTCTTTTACTTATAATTATTATAACCACATGTAATAAGCCACCACGTTTCCTTTTTCAGGAAATAAAACTTTCATTCACAATATTATTTTGAAAAATTGTGACAATGCGAAGTTCGATGTTGCAAAAATTTCGTGCCAAGTAAGGTACTGTACATTGTAGTCATCTTCACCTGCCCAGCTTAGAATTTATCAGATGCCTTCATCTTGCCTGAGAGTATAAACAGATTAAGTAATCCAACTATAGGTACATCTATCTACAGTCAGAGAACAAAATTGTGCCATTGTGGATAAAATTCTGTTTTGGAGAGGTGACTGTGCAGGTAGGTTTTCTGACCCAAGTTGCTTCCTCAACTGCGAAAGTGGCAAATTTGTCCAAACCAGCACTTGCTGCTGATACTGAAGCAAATGGAATCACATGTATTCAGTGTACTCATTAACAAGAATATATTGTGCTTGTGTTGCCTTGCAGATCCACACACGCTGGAAGAAAATTCGAAGTATGATCCATTGGTCGCCATTTGTACAGAACTTTAAAAAGAAATACCCATGGGTGCAGCTCGCCGGACACCAAGGTTAGCTTCTGTCCTGTTATTCCCGTTAATCTGATTCTAAAATCTGATTGGTTTTTAGCAGGCCCTGATTTAACATTTTATTGGACAGTTTATGAGTCATGCTTGGGATCATTGTATGCACCTTTTTGCGTGCTGTATGAGGTCAGTTGCACTCTGGTCTTGAATTGGGTATGTTGGGTTTGCATTGGATACGTGTTTAGAAGGGTCAGGTCTGAAATAGGTTATTGAGTTTTGGGTTGGGTCTGAAATTTGGTAGAGTAAACTGCAAATTTTGGTCTGAAATAGGGCAAGGGTTTCAAGAAGCTCACCACACACACACACCCAATTTTTCTGGGAGTATCCCAACCCTCCCCAAGAGACACAAAAATTGTCAGTATGAAGTAACATACTTGTACTTGTAGCTGGATTCAACTTGCCAAGATTCCTTCTTTCACTTTCTTATTTGTAGGTTGCTTTAAACCAGGTGAAAATGGTACAATTCTGAAGAAGTCAACTGACAAAGAGAGGGAATGTCTTGTAAAGCTTATGAAAGATATCTTGAGGCCTTATATCCCTGAATATAAGAGAGAAGTCAACAAAGGTGGAGAACGTATCCTTGGTACTACAAATATCAGTTTTATTTCCTAATATTAGTCATGCACTATGATATATTTACACACCATAAACCCCTCTCTTGTCCAAACAGGTAATGTTTGACAACCACGCATTGTTTGGTCATCAAATATGCTGGTGTTGAACTGAGTGGCCAAACAGTATCATCATAACTTGATGATGCCTGCTAATGCATGAATCATTTGTTAAGCATAATTTGCTTTCCCGTCCCTCCCGGATAGGAATGCCAGTCCATGACCAGTGTTCCAAGTGCCTAACACATCACCAGTACTTATTTTCAATGTATACTCGTGCAAGGAGATACACATGTTAAGATTTATCTGTTTCATCCTCACACACCTCACACACTATCACTCAAAGCCAGACCCCTTGCCTCTGGGTGCAAGAAATCATATTATTATAGGCCACTGCTACTTCTTCTACTTGTGTATGGTATATGGCCAAAAATTATTGATCTTCCATTATCTGAGTAGTTAAAAGAAAACTTTGAGGGATTTGCCAGCATCACTGTATACACGAATAGTAAATTAACTCTTCCAACTACGACTTTTTTTGTAATTTGAGACCTTTCAATCCATCTTTGGCATGGTATTGAGAACTGTGTTCAAGTCCGTCTTCCTTTCATTAATCAGTATTTCTTTATAAGCCAGCTAACTTCTGTTTTAAGCTGAACGTGATGCTGGTTTTTCCTTGACAAATGTTTAAGGTTATCTTGAAATGCAGGATTTACTCCAAGACTTTGAAAGCCCTTGTGTAATGGACTGTAAAATGGGAACAAGGTATGTTGCACTGTGTTACATTTTCGTATGCCATGTACAACACTTATTTGACCTGTATATATGGTAATGAAAAGAAATCATCTGATCTTCTTGATGTACTTTTTGTTTCAGAACATACTTAGAAGATGAATTAGCAAAGGCAAAGTCAAAACCTAGAAAAGTGAGTGTTAAATCATGCAAGAAAGAAACTTCATTGCACTGTTATCAATTAGTTTCTAGGTTGCTTATCAGCTGAAATATTGATTTAAAAAGGAACAAGTTCGTAGTTAAAGCAAAACTACACAATATGTAACAGGCATATTATTTTTATAACTACAATCATCTGATGAGTACGAACCATAAACTTATATTGAAACAGAGTCAAATGATAAATAACTTGGGAATTAATATGTGTATCTTTTTACCAAGTGTGCAGCATTTTGATCATTGGAAAAAAAGGATTCTTTTCTAATTAATCACCATAGCGATATTTTAAGCAATACTCATAGCACTTCCTTGGGGAATTTTTTGCTCCAGTACAAGACTCAGTTTCCCAATCGGCTGTCATGGCTGACTTAAAGGCTGATAACAGAGATTCACTTACCTGCCAATACTGTTTAATAGAAGGTAACTACAAGTTTTCTTCTCATAGGATCTATTTCAGAAAATGATAGAGGTGGATCCCAGGGAACCTACTGAGGAGGAGAAAAGAGAGGGAGGAATAACAAAACCTCGTTATATGAAGTGGAGAGAGCAGCTCTCTTCAACATCAAGTCTGGGCTTTAGGATTGAAGGAATTAAGGTTAGATCAGCCTCTAACTTCTCCTTACAGAATCAATATTGTGAACTGAAGTGTAAATGAGTATTAAAAATTATTTTATGTATATTTGCCACCAAATTCTTAGAGTAACATGTAAAAAACAGTGAAACTAATCATTATTATTACTTTGGTTAACATGGTTTTGTACTCATCGACACAAACATCTTTATTTCTCAGCACAAATTTGTTTTTAATTCCCCCATAGAAAGGTGATCAAAAACCCAACAAAGATTTTAAGAAAACAAGAACAAAAGAAGATGTACATGAAGTTTTTACCGAATTTATTGGTAATGACGAGCANACTGCATACCATTTACAGTTTGTACCCTGGAAATGGGAGGTTATTAGGTGCAAAGTAACCAAGAAAATGTTTCAATATCCACAGCTGGTGCAGTAGTAGTTCTGCTTGACCTAACAAATTGCTTTCAACTAACCAATGTAATTGCTGTATTCCAGGTGGTTGGTAGCTCTCTGTTATTTGTTCATGACGAAGATGGCCGAGCCAGTGTGTGGATGATTGATTTTGGAAAGACTGTGCCACTTCAGGACGGCATGTGGTTAGATCACAGAACACCATGGGAGGAAGGAAACCACGAGGATGGCTATTTATGGGGGCTTGACAACATGGTGGATATCTGGTCACAAAGATGATCTTCACCTAGTAGGAACTAATTCATTTTTTATTGGAAGTCCCTTTTTTAAATAGAAAGAGAAAACAGAACAAACTATTTGGACCAATTTTACTTAATGCTTATAACAGTGCAATCAAAATAATGTTGACAGGTGAATGTTGGCTTCAATCTGCATGTACAAACCTGTACAGTAGGGCGATCTTCCTTTGTCCGTGAACTTTAAACTCCATGTTTGCATACATGTTAAGTTATCAAAATACATCTTTTAGTCTCGCTAGCTGAATCAAGTAAACCCATATCATTATACATGCAGTGAATATTTAACAATCCTGCCCTTTAGTAAATGTGACAAGTATAAATTAAAGTAATATGTTTAATGACTGAGATATTTTCTTTTAATTTCATACAAAGAAGTAAAATTGGTGGATTGGCAACTGGTTGCCTATTCCTCTTACACAGCTTAACAGCCATGATCTATAACTGCTGCAAATGCACTGGTTTCTCATATTTTCTTGTAAGCATGGTATAATAACTATATGTAAGTGTACCATGCTCCTTTCAGACATACTTTGTTCTATATTTTGAGGGGTTAAAATTTCTCAGTACTAGATTTATGAAGATCGCCCTATGGTGTGAAATAAATAATGCTATTTAAGGTCATCTTTGAATTACTTTGTTGTCTTCCAAATCACTATACATGCAAGTAGATACAGTATGTTTTAAATGTCATTCCATTTTGTGGCTCACATGGCATGTAACAAGTTTCAATTTGTGGCACTGAAATCCAAGATTTTTTGCCAAATGCATAATTAGGGCTCAGCTGAGATAAACATACTTTGTACAAAGGACAAATTGTAGCATTGAAGCTTCTCAGAGTGATTAACATTCAATTTCCCCTAAGAATATAGTTATATAGCCTTTTTGAGAGAGGTTACACTTGTCCCACAAAAGCATAAAAGCGTATATGGCAACTAAAACTAGCCATTAAGAATGCCTTTTGGCTTTGTTGCACAAGCTTCTATGCTTCTGTGGGAGAACCTTTCTCTAAACAGCTGTAAAAACACTTTCGCTTAGAAAGGCAATAAGAATAAAGAAAATCTTAGTGGTAGTTGTAATTGTACCTTTATGATGCAATTCAGCAAAGAATTTGTTTAAATTGCTTAATTTGAGATTGTCATACATATANTTACTCTGCAATATTTGTGATTATTTTAAAATGTACAACTATTCTAGAATGTTTGGCTTACTCAAAGAATATATTTTTAACATAATATTTAAACAAGTATGCACTCTTTTCAGGAACTGGGTATGATTCTGAGGTAAAAATGGGATGAGCATCAAATTTTGGGCCACACATAGGGTAAGGAAGAGTTTCAAGACATTTCCCACACCCACCCACCTATATGTTTTCTTACAGAGAGATCATGTGTGATTTAATAAGAGTTATTTTGAAAATGACTTGAAATAATTAACAACTAGACCCGTGGCCCTTGATGGCGAAGGGTCTAATTGTTTTAGTATCACCCAACTAGTCAGATAGAAAAGACAATAATAAAGTTAGCAAATGTAAGTTGAAGAAATGTTTATTTGGGAATAAAACGAAACAAAGTGTTGTGCTCGATTGCGCCAATTTCGCTACTTGAGGACTATTACTAATAGACCTCTAGTAGTGTAGCCAATTATAATGCAGGATTTGCATTAGTCCACTAGTTGGGTGATACTAATATTGTATTATTCTATTAGTAACATCAGCAAGTAGTTCACTTAACTTTCTCAGGTTGCATGGTTGGTATATTACAGAACTTTTTTTGACTCACAAAAATGACCACTTGAATGGGTGCGCAGAAGAAGGCCCTTGGTGACTGTTGATGTAATGTCAAATTCCCCTTGTGTTTCACAAGGGAATACAAAGGAGAATCTGACAGTTTATCATAAGTCACTTAAGGGTGTTTTTCCAAGCACCCCCTTCATTTCTTTATATTGATCAGAAATCTTTTCACTCCAAGAGTTGTTGTGACCATTGACATGCAGTACTTTTATGTGGTACTGATCAAAATATTACGCTGCATGAAGATTTTTCTGTCGGCGGATAAAATCTTACAATGTGACCATAATTCAGTTAAAAACTACTGGGCAGAATATAGAAAATAGTCCAAAGAAAATATACGTGCAGATTGGTAAAAACCTTATAGAA